CCGCGCAGCGCCGGAGGAAACACCCTGCCCCGGCCCTCCTCCGCGCGGTTCGGCTTTATATTTAATACATGCCTTTTCATCTATAATTCACGCTGCTCTGACTCCAGCCCTGTCTCGGCTCCCATTTACGCCTGCACACCTCTCTCCTTCCCCTTCCCGAAGGGTCAGCCGAGATACTTGCCGAAGGAAGGAGAGAGCAGCTCTGCTGGTTTGGGTTTTGTTTGCTGAAACATCGAACTGGAGAACATTCCTCTCTGTGGTTTGATAAATAATAAAAGTGATCATTTCGCCTTCCCGGTAAATGACACAGGTGAATCATCCAGCTAGCCACAAAGAAGCGTCACATGCCTGGAAGACAGTGTAATAAAATGCCAATGTATTATTGTATGAGTGACCTCAAAAGTGTGACAAGAAGATGATTATAGTGCATTATATATAATGCATTATCTGTAGTGCCTTGTTCAACATTTTCTGAAGCATGAATGAACCTTCATTTGGCTGTGCTTTTATTGCTAGCTTTTCTCAGCTTGAACTTGCAAGCGGTCTGACACACTACCTATCCAATTTAGTATGCCTGGGTACGTGGCCACTCAGGCTGCTGTTTCTGGTTAAGCCTTTCGAATACATATGCATACAAAAAACAAAGATAACATCAGCATTTGACTTTTTCTTACTACGTCTAGATAATGTACACATTTTCAGTTGATAGCATTGGCCAGCTAAAGATCCGAGTTCCTACCTTGGAGGTTTTACATTTTCAGATGCGGGCTCCTACCTTTAGACTCCCATACGCGTGTGCACATACGACGCACCCTTAACTAATGGTGGAAGCTGCTTGTATCTGTCAGAGGTCAGTAATTTGCATGGCTTGGTTTTGTGTGGTACATACTGATAAATGTGCATATCCTTGCTAGTCGTACGGATGCAGACACTGCGTATGTGAACATTGCGCATCCTGTAATCCCGTGATGTGTGAAGATTAAATACTTAGTTTTGCTGTGCTTTGTATTTGTGTCCAAAAGACTCCTGTTACAGATACACACAGAAAAAAATTGATCCTGGTTTTGATGGCATCAAGTAATGGTAGCAAACGGAACTGAATCTAATAATAGTTTAAGAAAAATGTTCGTTATGTAATACAGGAAAGATGGCTAGAGCCCCAGCATTGAAAGTCAAGCAAGTGACATGAAGGAGCAACCTTGCTGCCAAACCACTTAGAAAAAGAATTCTGTGAATGAATTACATATGCAATTCTTCTGTCTTTTAAAATACAAAGTGGAACAGCCATTAATAAAGAAGATAATTAGAACTGCTAGCATTCTGTGTAATGTAGTCTGCTTCTGAAATACAGCATGTTTATGTATGCGTTAATAATGCACACATTTTTCCTGACACTAGTCATATCACAGCAGTATGGCATCACAGACGTTTTATAGCCTCATTCTAGTAACATCACAGACATATAACATTCTAATCACACCATAGTCATTTCAATGTCACATTGTAGTCACATCACATAGCCTGGTAATAATTATTTAACTTTATTGCTAAGCTGAATAGTTTTCTGTTTGCTCAGGGATGACTTTAACTTGTAGTCAGAACTGATTAGCACATGCTCATAAATGAGTTCTTCTCATGTACACAGGGTTAGCCTCATGAAAAGTTAGGAAGAGGAAAAAAAAAGCAAAATTTCATTGAACTAGTGGCTGTTGGATTTAAACCCAACACGGTCACAAGTCACAATAATAGCATATTTTTGCTGTTTTCTGAAGTTATTTTAGAAAGCCAGAGGTGTTTATGTGCAGGTCTGTCATGTTAATGTTTATGTGCTTGCTTTAAAATGCTGTAGTTCTTTAACTAATCATACATTATTAACCTCATGCAAGAAGCAGGTCTTCAGACCGTAGTGTTTGCACAACAGATTGTAAATTTGAGGCCCAGAGTAGCAAAGGGGCTAGAACTGTCACAACTTCTTCTAATAATGGGAGAAAATGAATAGAGTGCTGAGTTCCTGAGCAGGAGTCAGAATCGCCCAGTGCAGCATTACGCCGCCTCTGAAATGTGATGAACTGCTCTGAAACATTTCCCATGTTCATTTGAGTAGCAATGTTTTATCCTCCAGTAAATGTTTATTCGCTCGCTCTTGTATTTGAGGAAACTACAGTATTTGATGTTATGCTCTCCTCAAATGCAGCGATGTACTGTTATTTATACTGTTCCTTAATAGTCTCCTTTCTTTACCATGATGTATTAGGCTTTTGTCTGCATATAAGAACACTGGACTCCTAATCACATCATAACCTATTAAAATGACTTCTGTATTATAGCATATTAACTATTCATCCACATCACTGCTTGTTATCTTTGCCTCCATATTATTATGTACCAAATTCTTTTCCATATCGTATTTGACTCAAATTCTAGCATGCTAGAAACTGACTCCAATTATTCTGTACTAGCTATAGTCAAATTGCACTAAATGGAATTGCTTACATTGTATCGTAGTGGCTACAGGCTCACACAATACATTATACATGAAACTGATTCACATTATGCTTAGCTAACTAAAGACTTTAATCTTGAAGTGTTGAGCATAAAATGCTATCATTCTTCACTGAACTGGCTCTGGTCACTTGATCATTTTGTACTGGGGATTGCCTCTTACAGGCTGTTATTATTAAAGCAAAATGGCTTTTCCTCTCCTGCAGTTCTACCACTTTCTATGCAGAGCTGATTCATATGCTAATGAACGAGCTCTTTTCCTTCATGCCATCTCACTGCAACACTGGAACCTGACCTATGGTGCACCTATAGCACGTCCCCTTCAGTCCAGCGTAGCGAAAAAATGGGTTATAAACATTTGCTTGTGTGTTCAAATAGCACGTTACGTGCTAGCTATTTAGCAATCCTTAATATGATCCCTGGAGGCCTTGTTTCTTAAATGTTGCTTGCATCATTAGCAAAAACAGCCTCGGTCCCATCTCCAATAGGAAACACTCAAGGCCGAATTGCCGGTTCTGCTGAGATCTTTCAGTGTGTTCCTGATGTTGTTGTCCCTGGAAAGAGAAGAGGTTTGGAGTTCAGTGTGGCAGGTAAGAAGTGAGGATTCGCCCCGTTACAGATAGTATTTAATCCATGAAGTAGTCCACCTCCACAGGGCAGACATTTGCTCTGCTCAAATTAGCACTGGCATTGCTCTGTCCTTGACTTGGGTTTCTGCCACAATTTGGTCTTCTGGTAACCTTGGGAAACCCAGTTCTTACAAGAAGTACTGGGCCAAAAAGTGTTGCTTATCATCTGCTGCGCTCCTAACCCCCAAAACTTCAGGAAGTCTGTGAGGACGAGAGAGGAGAATGCCACAAAAGTGGAAGCAGCATACGGAGACGATTGTGGAGCCCCTGTTTTCTGCATATCCTTACAAGCGTGTTTCTCCTTACAAGCATGCTGCTTTTGTCCAGACTTTATACACATAATGGTTTGGATTTCAGGAGCTTGCTTCAGAGTTTCCTTCTCTTCTTGAGTGTAGGGTTTGAACCTGGAGTCTTTATTTACAAGAGTAGTTCAAATGAAGTCAATAAAAAATATTTTGTGTAATGTAAACCATACATAACTACAGCATTTCAAAAAGCCAGGTAATTGAATTATAAATTATATTTATTTAATATACTCATTTTTATAATTTCAAAATGTATTTAATTGTTTTTCAGACTGGTTGTGAGAGCTCTAGGAAAGGAAAAACACTTAAGCAAACACTTCGGGGCTGTATATTAATCTGTACTCTTAAATAAACAGCAGTAGCTAAGTCAGACAGCAGTAGCTAAGTCAGTTAATGATGAATAATTTAAGCCAATCGAGCTGCTGAGATGGGGCAATAGTTGCAGAATTGGGCCCTTTTAATATGTTTTTTTTCAGGAAAATAAACTCAGTCCCTGGATAATCAAATCACAAAAGGGGCAGGTGACGACCTTTATTCCATTTGAATGGCAGAACTAAATTTAACTGAATTTGCCATTTTTTTTTGACTGACAAAGATTGCAAATGTCAGTTCATGGCTCTGAAGGGTCTACAAATGCACAAGCTGAAAACTGGCATTTTGTGGTGCCAGTGTTTAATCCCTGTCACTGTACAATACAGCAAGGTGCCGAACTCCCATTAATTATTGCTGTTTATTTAAAGGTACAGATTAACGTACAGACTTGAAT